GGCTTGTGCCGCTCCTCCTACTCTTCCCTGCTCCAGAACCTCCAGGACAGAGGGCCAGCCTGGTACCGGAAAAAGGTGAGGAGTCAAAAGCGGTGGGCACAGGACCCTGGTCAGAGGCCGGGAACATGCGAAGAACGCCCACTCGCATGGAGGGATAGACATGCCAAGGCGTCTGAGAAAGTGAGGGCCTGGCCGCAGCAGGACCGGGGCCTGCCAGAGGATGAAGGTACTCACAGGACGAGGCCTCCATAAGTGAGTGCAGCATGTGCTGGTACCTCTTCACCCACACGAGTCCACCCGGCTCCTGGCAAGTGTCTCCTGGGGTTGGGTATGGCTGGTTCATTCTGTTACGTGTTAGTGTGGTGTGGACCCCAGTTGCAGACACAGACCAGGAGGAGTAGTAGCCAAAGAAAGTGGTTTAATGAACAAAAACACAGGTAAGGCTGGGTGGCAGGAGGACGAGGACCCAGGGAGGAGACCAGGAGGAACCAAGAGGGACCAGGAGAAACCAAGAACCAGGAGGGACCAGGAGACCAGGAGGATGATGAACCAGGAGGGACAAGGAGGAGACCAGGAGGACAAAGAACCAGGAGGGACGAGGAGGAGACCAGGAGGGACGAGGAACCAGGAGGGACACAGAAACCAGAGGATGAGCAGGAGAGCTGGCAGCAGGAGAGACACAGGAACCAGAGGACGAGCAGGAGAGCTGGCAGCAGGGGAGACACAGGAACCAGGGGATGAGCAGGGGAGCAACACCAGGAGGGACACAGGAACCAGAAGACAAGCAGGTAAGCAGGCAGCAGCCAGGAGGACCAGGATGACAGGTGAGTCGACGGACGAGTACACAGGGTCGTGAAAGTGAGGATGACGAGCCGAGGGCTTACGCACTTAACCAACAGAAACAGCAAGCTTGATGACTGACCCGATGCGGCGTTATCAGAGCTGCTGACATGCGGAAAACAAACACGAACAGGGTGGGAACACGGAGTCGAACAGACGGAAAGCTCAGGACACGAACACATGTAATGCTAACCGGGTAGCGTAACGTAAACGTAAGGTAAGCGTATCGTAGCATAAAGGTAAGGTAATGGTATGGTATGAACCAGCAAAAACGCGGCGGAAGACAGGGTGTACCTGACAGGACCGGGAGACAACGAGCAGCAGGTGGGAGGAATGATGACTGATTGCAGAGAGAAACTGCAAGGGACAGGACTGGGAGATAACAGGCAACAGGTTACTGACATGGCAACTAATTGCGGTGACAGAGTAGCGGGGGAGAGAACAGGTAAACAAACAAAGCCAGGAAGCCGATCGACGCGACACTATAACACATACTTCACATGTACTGGAAGGATCTACTGTACATGGGAAGTACAGTGATCTTCAGACATTTTTGGACAGATAAAAAAAAAACTGTACAAATGTACGTGTATCTGCAACTTTGTCACCAAATACAACACTGTCATATTGTTCTCCATTGTCCCAAGAGCATCGTTAGATCAATTAAATTACAGCAATCAGCCATAACATTATGACCACCTGCCTAATACTGTTTACATAGGAGTCCATGTGGCAGTTGTTTGTCAAATTCAACAGCCTCACCACTCTAGATGTGATATCTCCATTACAACCCCTGACTCTTTCTCTTCATATAGACCAATGTACAGTGTTTCTCATCTTCAACCATTTTAACAAAGATTCAAATACATTTTAATCTTTTGAAAAGTACAAATGGAAGTTAAAAGTTTAAACTACAGTAGGTCAACCTCATCATCAGTGAGCCATGGGCGTCCATGACCCTGTCTCCAGTTCACCATTTGTCCTTCCTTAGACACTGTTGGTAGGTACTAACCACTGATGACTAAGAACACCCACCAAGACTTGCAGTGTG